CATTTAAGCTGTCTCCCAGGCAAGAATGCTGAAGGAAGAGGAGCAGGCTCTGATGCTGCGGACGTGGGTCTTGGAATCCTTGAGCCCACAGGAAATAAGCAGCAAACTTAGGAGGAGCCAGGTTAGGAACAAATGAGAATTTTACAAAAATAAGTTTATTGTTGTTTAAGATTGATAGATTGATTTGAAAGTTAGTTACAGAGAGAGATTGTCCATCCGCGTGTTCACTCCCAAAATGGCCACAGTGGCTAGGGCTGGGCTAGGACAAAGCCGGGAGCTTGGAACTCCATCTGGGTCCCCTCTGTGGGTGCAGGGACCCAAGCAGGTGGGCCATCTTGGGCTGCTTTCCCAGCACGTTAGTGGGTAGCTGGATCGGCAGTAGAATAGCCAGGCTCATGGAATGCCAGCATTGTAGGCAGTTGTGTACCTCACCACACCACGATGCCCGCCCCGGAAAACCAAGTTTAAAATCCTTCCCCACCCCCGACCTGACCTCCCACCTCCGACCCCACCATGGACTTGGTCAACAGGACCGCCCTCCTTCAATAGAGGAGGAGGAAGAGAAAATCCACAGTAAGTGTGGAGGGTGGCATGAGGAGGGCTCAGGGGTGGGCACCTCACGGCTGGCTTCCCTCGTGTCTCTGCCTGGGCTAGTTTGTTAGGGCTGCATAACGTGTTACCCCCCCGGTGGCTCAGGCAAGGGCAGCGCAGGGTCCCGCAGCCCCAGAGGCCAGCAGTCTGACTCTGGTGCCCACGGGGCCAGGCCCTCTTGAAGGCCCGTGGGAGGATCCCTCCCTGCCTCCTGCAGCTTCTGGCTCCGTGGGTTCCTTGGTCTTCTTTAACCTACATGGCTCTGAGCTCTCCCTCGCGTCTGTCCCCACAGCCGCCTTCTCCATGCCTCCGAGTCCTCTCTTCTTTTAGGGACACCAGTCATGGGACTTAGGGCTCACTCTAGCCCCCATGACGTCATGTGAACCAGTGCCACCTGCAGAGCCCCCATTCCCAGGTGAGGTCACACTCTGAGGTTCTAAGTCGACAAGAGTTGGTGGGGGACACTGCTCAACCCACCACACCCTTGCCTTCCCGAGGGGCCTGGGACCACAAGGCTCCATTTCCCATTCACTTCCCTTCTCCCTGGCTATGCTGCTGTCAGATCATGTAGGTGTGGCCCATTTACGCTCTCCGCAAACAAGTGTCAGGTACATGCCTGTTGGGGACTCAATGTGTTCTACAAAGAAATTCTCCAGTGGTGGGCTAGCACATTGGTTCTTTTTTTTTTTTTTTAAGATTTATTTATTTATTTTGACAGGTAGAGTTATGGGGGGAGAAGGGAAGGGAGGTTTTCCATCCTTTGGTTCACTCCCCAAATGGCCTCAACGGCTGGAAATGGGCTGATCTGAAACTGGGAGCCAGGAGCTTCTTCTGGGTCTCCTACGTGGGTGCAGGGGCCCAAGAACTTGGGCCATCTTCCGTTGTTTCCTCAGGTGCATTAGCAGAGACCTGGGTAGGAAGTGGAGCAGCCAGGACTCAAACCAGCGCCTATGTGGGAAGCCAGCATTGTAGGCAGTGGCTTTCCCACTACACCACAGCACCGGCCCCCCCAGCATTGGTTCTTTAAAAGGCCCTCAGTTCCTGGGCTGGGGTCTCCTGAGCTTGCACACTGGTGTAAGCCAGAGCTGTGGCACTCCCTTAGGGTGCCTTTCCAAGATGAACCCTAGAAAGAAGCCATGAACTTCAGGTTATGAACTGGCCTTGCCATGGAGTTCCTGCCTTCAGCCAGCCCTCTACTGCCACCTACTGGTGGAAAGGCAGCTCTGACATTGGCATAAGGCGTAATGGAGGTCCTCACGTTGCAACCTAATTAAGGGGGAACGTCCTGTCTCAATGGACTGTTCCCACTCCATGGACTTTATTGTAGCCTTTCAGCGCCATGCGTGCAAGTTCAGCAGGGGGCGCGTCCTCCAGACGTCAAAGGCAGCGCACTCTGACAGGCGCAGCATCCACTGCCTTTCAAGTTGGCCTGGAGGCTGCAATTACAGCGGGGCCCTGACCGCGGAGGTGCTAATCTTCCCTCAGATCCCAGCCGGCCCTTCTCCTCCGTCAAAGCCAGCGCCGCCTGGGCCTCTTTGAAAGGGCCGCTAGCAGTCTGAGAACTCAGCGCAGAAAATGCCGCCGCCGCTGCTGCTGCTGCTGCTTAGGCAGCGACCTGAACAAAGTGTCTGCCACGTGGGGTCCTCTCTGCCAGTCGCCCAGCCCCCAGATGACGGTACCTTTTGAAGTAAGCCCCCACAGGGACAGGGTTAAGTAGAATGCATGCAAATACAGAGCTTCCTTTATAAAGAAAAGACTGGGAATCTCAGGTTCCAGGTCCCACGGGCTGGGTGACATAAGCAAGGGGACTTTGTCTCCTTGCAGCTCTGGAGGAGGGCAGTGTGCAGTGAAAGCACCCACAACACTGGCTCCCCCCAGGGCTCTCTTTGGCTTGCAGATGGCCCTCATCTCCACAGTTCTTTCCATCATCTGCTGTCTGCATGTGATTGTGTCCAAAATTATTTTTTCTAAGGACATCAGTAATCTTGAGTTTGAGCCCCACCTGTGACCTCATTGTAACCTGATTTCCTCTGTAAAGACCCTGCCTCTAGGGGCCAGTGCTGTGGCAGAGCGGGTTAATGCCCTGGCCTGCAGCACCAGCATCCCATATGGGCGCCAGTTCTAGTCCTGGCTGCTCCTCTTCCAATCCAGCTCTCTGCTGTGGCCTGGGAAAGCAGTAGAAGATGGGCCCCTGTACCTGCATGGGAGACCTGGAAGAATCTCCTGGCTCCTGGCTTCAGATCGGTGCAGCTCCGGCCATTGCAGCCATCTGGGGAGTGAACCATCAGATGGAAGACCTCTCTATCTCTCTCTCTGCCTCTTCTCTCTCTGTGTAACGCTGACTTTCAAATAAATAATTGTTTAAAAAAAAAAAAAAACCTGTCTCTAAATGAGAGCACATTCTTAAAAAAAAATATTTATTTGAGGGTAGAATTACAGACAGAGAGAGGGAGAGACAGAGAGAGGTCTTCCATCCTGTGGTTCATTCCCCAAATGGGCACAACGGCCAGAGCTGGGCTGATCAGGAGCCAGGAGCTTCTTCCAGGTCTCCCACGTGGGTGCAGGGAGCCGAGCACTTGGGCTATCTTCCACTGCTTTCCCAGGCCACAGCAGAGAGCTAGATCAGAAGTGGAGCATCTGTATGGGATGCCGACACTGCAAGTTGAGGCTTAGCCTACTCCGGCCGTGCCCCTCCTCCCAGGCAGCCAGGCGTTTTTCCTGGGCGGCAGAGGCAGGAGCATGAGCACTGTGTTCCAGGAGGTGACGGGGAAGCGGGAGTCACTGCGGAGTCCTCAGCCTGTGTGCATCGTGGCTGCCCCCGGGCTGCTGTCGGGGCTTCGGAAAACAAATGAATCAGGCAGGGAGCAGTGCTAAAATATCAACTGCTGCACTAACAGGGGGGATGCTGGAGACACCAGCCAGCCTCCTGGGGCCTGCTGATGGGTAGGGACGCTGAGATGGGGCATCAGGAGGCTACGGTACCAACAGCCCAGAATCCAGCCCGCCTCCTGCCAGACCCAGCACAGAGTGCTTGTCTGTGTCTGCACTGTCCACGCCCTTCCAGAGCAGTGCAAGTCCCAGCTTGTGTCCCCTGGGAGAGGAGTCGCGTCCCCTCTGCTGCTGAGTCCAGATATTACGTGCGGGGGCAGCGGTGTGGGAGCTGAGCCGCTCAGGTATCCTTGCAGCCACACAGTTCCGTAGCAGCGTGCCTTTGTCACAGCCACGCTGCCGTGTCCTGGTTTCTGTACATGAGTGCACAGATTGATTCAACTGCCTGCAAAAATGGTGAGCTCTTAGATGCCTGCTACTGCTGGAACCCAGCGCCAAGAGAAACGCGCCCACTCCACCCTGTCCCCAGACAACGGTGCCTTGTGGAGTAGCTCCTAACGCTGGATTGCTGTGAGTGTGATAAGGTGGAAATATGCGTTCTTATTTTTAGGAAGACCAGACTCCCCAGAGCCCGGGAGTGCTGGCTTTGTATATGAAAACAAGGAAGCTCTGAGAAAACTGTCAGTGAACCCAGAGATAGAAAGGACCCCAGATGCAGGGCAGTGGGAAGCCTTCACAGGGATGTGTGCTCAGGCTGTGCGTTTAGGCCAGAATGGGTGAATCGAGGCAGCAAACACTGGTGTGCCTGAGAGGGAGCATCCACCAAGAGAACACAAACAGGAGAAGAAGCGACGCTCGCAGAGATACTCTGGCAGAGAACTTCAGCTGCAAGGCACACAGAGGATGCCCTGAACACGCACAAGGAGAGGGCCTGCTTCAGTGCTTCGGTGGGACCAGGCCTGAAGCCGTAGGTCATTGTAGCTAACAGAGAGCTTCACCACTCTGGTTCTGGAATTCAAGCATTATGGAGACTTCATGGGACTTTTTTTTTTTTTTTAAGATTTATGTATTTTCTTATTGGGAAGGCGGAGTGACAGAGAGAGAGGGAGAGATCTTTTGTCCACTGGCTCACTCCCCAAATGCCCCAACCAGGTTGTTCTAGGCTGAAACCAAGATCCAGGAACTCCATCCAAGTTCTTGAGCCATCATCTGCTGATTCCTGGGACGCATTAGCAGGAAGCTGGATGGGAAGCAGAGGTGCCGAGACTCGAACCAGCACCTCGACATGTGATGGGGGTGTCCCAAGCAGTGACCTGCCCACTGTGCCACCAACTCCCACCAAACTTGGTCTTGATAAGCCTTGGTGAAATTAGCGGGTTGCAGGTCCATCAGAAAAGCATATGCTGAGCTAGTCATTGCCTAAGGACACTGAGCCTAATGCACCCCTTCCTGCCTGCACACTTCCCAGGGAATTACTGGGAGAAATATCCAACGTGGGTTGCACCTCTCAGGGAAGAGTGATCAATCACTGGCAATGCTCTGTCTCATCTGCTTTCTCTCTCTCTCTTTTTTTTCCCCAGTAAGTGAAACTGCTGACCATCTAAGCACAGGGACAAGATGTACACAGTGTGGGAGAGAAGTTTCTCCTCTCCAGCATTCTCCAGAGGAGCTTGGCTGAGCCCCACGACACACAGAGTAACGACCAGCTGGACCCGGAGCCTGCGAGATGCCTGGGGAGCCTGGGTACACAGGCTGCTCAGCAGACGGGTGGGGAAATACCACACTATTCTATCAATTGCTGTTGCTTGCCGAACTGTGAAGAACTGCATGAACTGTCTTTAAGCTGCTTCTATACCATTGCCAATCACCTTTTTTGGAATTGGAAGTGCTATTTTCCTATGGACTCTTGCGTTATTTCATTTTGCATGCATCCAGTGATTCTACACAAAAGCAACGTACATAATCTGCTTATATATTTTTAAAAAATCCATCCATGCAAAATGGAAAAGTATAAATTCTGCTTCTTTTTTTTTTTTTTTTTTTGCAAAATCATACTCATAGCCCTTGTCATTAAAAGTTTAAATTGGTTTCATTTAAAGATCAGTGTGATCGGTCTGCCTATACTTTATAGAAAACTAGCTTCTATAAAGATTTTTTCACTGTTTATTAGTGAAATGAGAAAAGCAAAGCTATTTATAAAAGGCCTTATGTCGTGTATATACATTGTCTTTGAAATATTTGTGATTTAGTTTATTGCTTGTAAAAGAGAAATTATATAATTTATTTAGTAAATACTACTGTAAACTATAGTTTTATTGAGAGAAATAAAATATTTTGTTCTCAACTGCAGTAGTACATTGATTCTAATGATTCCTGATCTTTACATTTCTTTTATTAATGAATGAAAAATAGCCCAGACACTCTCCATTTTGGGGTACTTGGGAATCCTAAATAAACGGAATATCCTCACAGAGCAAACTGGAAAGGTAGTGGGCTTCTAAGCAGCAGCTGAGCCACGTGTGTCCCATCTCACAGTATCTGGGATCAGTTGCCAGCTCCAGCTTCGGACTCCAGTTCCCTGCTAACACATGCCCTGGGAGGCAGCAGTGAGAGTGCAAGCAATGGGGCTCCTGCCACCCACGTGGGCAACCTGGATGGAGTTCCCAGCTCACAGCTTCGGCCCGGCCCAGCCCCAGCCTTTGCAGGCATTTGGGAAATAGAAAGTTGGAAGTTTGGAAGTTTTCTAACATCCCCCTAGACCAGCCTGTACTTAGCTCATCTGTCTCAGAAACCTCAATACTTGGTACTGTTATTTAATCATTGAGGCATAAAGCAGTTCAGAAAGCTCTTGGAAAAGCGAATTAAAAGATACATTTATTTTGCTGCAACAAAATTTGAAAACCATACATAAGGGAGGTCATCAAAAAGTTCATGGAAAGTGCATATTATAAGAAATCTGAGGGTCGGCGCTGTGGCATAGCGGGTTAAGCCTCTGCCTGCAGTGCTGGCATCCCATGTGGTTGCCGATTCGAGTCCTGGCTGCTCCACTTCCGATCCAGCTCCTTGCTAATGTGCCTGGGAAAGCAGCGGAGGATGGCCCGAGTCTTTGGGCCCCTGCACCCATTTGGGAAACCAGGAAGAAGGTCCTGGCTCCTGGCTTTGGCCTGGCCCAGCCCCAGCTATTGCAGGCTATTTGGGGAGTGAACTGTGGGTGGAAAACCTCCCTGTCTCTCTCTCTCTCTAATTCTGCCTTTCAAATAAAAAACAAAAATCTTTTTGAAAAAAATCTGTGTTTGGATTCTAAATGTTGTTGCACCAAAATAATCTCTTTTTATTTTAGCTTAGTTTTTTGAGCTAGAGAAACAGAGCTCCCACCTACTGGCTCACTCCCAGTCCTCACCATGGCTGGAGCTGGAAGCTGGGAGCTCAGCCCAGGTCTCCCTCGTGGGTGGCAGGAACACAGTTACTGCCTCCCAGCATCTACATTAGAAGGAAGCTGGAGTGAGGAGCCCAAGCTGGACATCATCAAACTGAGCCACTCATGGGGCCAGTGCTGCGGCATAGTGGGTAAAGCCGCCACCTGCAGTGCCGGCATCCCATATGGGCGCTGGTTCGAGTCCTGGCTGCTCCACTTTCAGTCCAGCTCTCTGCTATGGCCTAGAAAAACAGTGAAAGACAGCCCAAGTCCTTCAGCCTCTGCACCTACATGGGAGACCCGGAAGAAGCTCCTGGCTCCTGCCTTCAGGTCACCTCAGCTCCGGCTGTTGCGACCATCTGTTTGAAAAAGTCACCCAATGGAGCAGTGACTTCCAAAGTCTACTAAAATTTTATTTTTAATTTAAACACTTCAACTTGTATATTAGTTCTGTAAAGAACCCTGACTAATGCACAGGGCGTAGCATTTCAATAAGAAATCAGAGCTAGCTAGACTGAGGTATGGACAGACATAGATACATTGATTTAAGTGATTCAGGGGGTTATTAAGGCATTGGCTCCTGCAGTGCAGGGGCAGGCCAGGGAGAGTTGGTGGTACAGACCTGAGGCAGACTGCCTCCTTCCTAGGAAACTTCCGTTTTGCTTTTAAGGACTGGCACCTGATGGTAAGGCCTGCTCACATCAAGGAGATTCCCCCTTCCTTCAGCCGAGGTTGGTAGGCCTTAACCACATTTACATCTACCTGGGAACCCTAGCCTGGGCAAGTTGACACATAACGTTAGCCATTACTTCCTGGAAAGCTACTAAAATGTGGAGGCAGCCTGAAGTTCTCCATGCAAAACTCATTTTTTAAAAAGATTTATTTATTTATTTGAAAGAGTTACAGAAAGACAGAGAAAGAGGGGTGGGAGAGAGGTCTTCCATCCTCTGGTTCACTCCTCACATGGCTGCAACTTGGCTGGAAATGGGCCAATCCGAAGCCAGGAGCTAGGTCTCCCATGCAGGTGCAGGGGCCCAAGGACTTGGGCCATCTTCCACTGCTTCCCCAGACTATAGCAGAGAGCTGGATCGGAAGTGGAGCAGCCGGGACTTGAACCAGTGCCCATGTGGGATGCCGGCACTGCAGGTAGAGACTTAGCCCATTACACCACAGCACCGGCCCTGCAAAACTCATTTTCCATCGGGCTGCATCCGGAGGCTCCTGGAAGATGAGCTTTATGACAAGGAGAGAGTAAGTCAGAAAGAGAAAGCCACAGGATCCTGAAGACAGGAGATCCAGCCCAAAAGGGACAGGACAGGAATCCCTGGTGACGGTCAGGGAAATCACAAGATGGCCATGGTGGGGAGGCCTGGAAACCCACCGGCCCCTTGGAGGGGAGAAGTTTCTCAAAGTGGATGAAGATACTCAGGAGACTTACATGACAAGGGGTGAACATGTTCACTCCTGGGTTGGGTCCTGGGACAGGAGGAGAGGATCTTAGCAGAAAAACCGGAGAAGTCCACATCAAGTCTGCAGCTTTATTAATAGTGATACACAATGGTTTGTCTTCATCGTGACAGATGTACCCGGTATGTGAGACGCTGACAGTAAGAGAAGCAGGTGGAGGGTCTACAGAAACTCTGTTGAATCTTTGCAAGTTTTCTGTCATTTTTTTTTTTTTTGACAGGCAGAGTGGACAGTGAGAGAGAGAGACAGAGAGAAAGGTCTTCCTTTGCCATTGGTTCACCCTCCAATGGCCGCCGCGGCCAGCGCGCTGTGGCCGGCGCACCGCGCTGATCCGATGGCAGGAGCCAGGTACTTATCCTGGTCTCCCATGGGGTGCAGGGCCCAAGCACTTGGGCCATCCTCCACTGCACTCCCTGGCCACAGCAGAGAGCTGGCCTGGAAGAGGGGCAACCGGGACAGAATCCGGTGCCCCAACCGGGACTAGAACCCGGTGTGCCGGCGCCGCAAGGCAGAGGATTAGCCTAGTGAGCCGCAGCGCCGGCAGTTTTCTGTCATTCTAAAATCACTCCCAAAAAGTCCATTAAAATTGAAAAACTACAAGGGTAAAAGATGTAAGGGGACACTTCATCAAAGAAAACATATGAATGGGAAATAAATATGAGGATGTATTTGACATTATTAGTTGTTAGGAAAGCAAAAATGAGATACCACTGCACACCTATACAAATGCAGTTTTTTCGATTGACAGTACCGCATGCTGGAGAAAATGCGCAGTAACGGGAACTCTGCTGTATTGCTGGCGGGAATGCAAATGCTATAGCCACTCTGGGGGAACGTGCACGCACTACATGACCCGGGGATCCCGCTGCTGATACCTGTCCTGCAGAACTGAGATTTTACGTTGACCCAAAAGCTTGCGCATGAATGCTTACAGCAACTTTACTAAAACTGCTACAAACCACTAAATAGAAATAGAAATCACTAAAACCTGGAAACAACCCAAATAGCCCTGAAGTGGATGAATGCATTCACACAATGAAAACAGCACATAAGTAAGAAGGGAACAGCGAATTGATACCCTGGACAATATGGGGAATTTGAACGTGAGAGGGAGCCACGCGTTGGTGGCAATGGTGAAGACACCACCCAGAACACCTGCACCCACAGCTGAGCCCTAGCTCTGCTTCTGATACCAGCGTCCTGCTCGGGCACACCCTGGGGGGCAGTGAGTGGTGACCAAAGCGTGGGCCCCTTCACCCATGTGGGAGTCTCAGATTGAGTTCTTGGCTCCTGGCTTCAGCCTGGCCAGCCCTGGCTGTAATTTAATTTGGGGAATGAACCAACAGATAGAAGAGCGCTCTCTCTCCTCTCTCTCTTCTCTCTTTCTCTCTCTCTCCCTCTCTCCTCTTACTCTGCTTTTCAAATAACAAAAAAGAAGCAAGCAATGATGGATCATATTTTTAAAAATAAAAATAAAAACAAATCTGAAAGAATGCACATTCTAAGGTTATTTCCTGAATGAAATGTTTTCTGTTTATATGACATGCTGGAAAAGACAGACGCCTGGTGTTAGAGTGACTGCCCGAGGTCAGGGTTAGAAGAAGAGGGTTTGACTAGGAAGGGGCAATATGGAGGAATTTGGGAGGCGGAGGGAGTGTTCTGTGTGCCGGCCACATGGTAGTTCGAGCATGGTGATGGTGATCTACATTTGTGTCAGAACTCAGAGACTGGCATTGTGCCACGGTAGGGTAAACTGCCACTTGGGACACCAACTTCCCAAATCAGAGCAATGCATCAAGTCCTGGCTGCTCCGCTTCTGATCCAGCTCCCTGCTATCGGGCCTGGGAAAGCAGCCAAGGACGGCCCAAGTGCTTACACCCTGTAACCCACGTGGGAGACCTGGATGGAGTGCTGGGCTCCTGGCTTCCACCTGGCCCAGTCCTGGCCATTGCAACCATCTGGGGAGTGAACCAGCGGATGGAACCTCTCTCTCTGTCACTCTGCCTTTCAAATAAATACAGAAGTCCTTTAAAAAAAATACTCACAAATGCACATCCAAACAAAAAATTCAGTCATCATTTGTAAATTTTTATATTTTTAATTAATTTTAAAAACACATATTATTTTCTTCTATTTTGGATTTAATGTGCCCTTCTTTCTTAAGGTGGAAGC